TAGTCAAGAACATGCTATTCTGTAACACGATTGTCCTAAGTTGCTATTGACTGGATAGCAACCATCACTACCAATGATGTTTAACAATTAGCTTGAAAAATTCTGTCATCTGCTCTGAAAGATCAAGCTGGCTTTAGCAGGTTGTTGTGCCAGGTATTGTGTATTACAGCTTTTCTAGTGAGATGCGTTCCCCCCCTATTTTATAAGCTTGCAAGAAACGACTATGACTTCCTCACCTTTGTATCCATATATCCATATATTCCACTTAGAGCCTCAAAAGCTACAGCCATTTAGCTAATTCTGCTTGAATGTTTCACTTCTGTTTGTATACAAAGGGCCCTTTATTTAAACATTATTTAAGCCCTAGGTTTAATTTTTGTTTTTGTAAAGGATAGAAAACAGATGAACACATACATTATCAGATGGTCCCTCAGTGAAGCCTTTGTACAAATAATACATGATACAGATGCTTATGGCCTTGAATGATTAGCATAACATATGGTCCAGCTGAAAAATGACAACTGCGATTCCATTATAAAAGAGCTATGCCTTTGTTTTAACATCCTTATCTGATGTGCAGAGTTCTGATTGGTGGATGCATAAGTACTTCCATGCCTAAGGATGCAACATGATGCCAATGGCTTTTGCCTGATCCAGACAGAGCTGCTTCATAGTTATGTGGTGGCTTTATTTCCATCACCACTTTCATCATCCATGTCCTCTCCTCATCATTATCAACAAGTCTTATTTACCAAAAGCTGTCATGTGCATCTCACTGTGACAGACATCATGCAAATCAAGTGGCAAATGATCCCTTGAAGGTCACATCTTAGATGCAGGAGCAAACCATAAAAGGACAAAATGAATTCCTATCATTTCAGCGTAAAGAAGGAAATAGGGGTACTTGGTTGGAACCTGAGGACAAGGATCCTTACAGCCAGGGGAGGTGAGTGGAAAAAAGCAATTGGGTAGAACAGACGGTGAGAGAAGACTGTATAGGCTTCAGTATGGCAAAGATGGTGGCAATGGTACAGGATAGGGCAGGGCTCAGATCTATTGTTCTTAGTGTCCCTAAGAGCCATAGTTGATTTGATGCACCTGACAAGTTGGTTTAGGAAGTATGAGGAGATTTAGAGACGAGACGAGCATAATATGAAAGGAGGATGGAGGAAGGAAGAGAAGGAGAGAAGAGAGATAGATGGGAGAGAAGAAAGAAAATTAGAGAGATAGCAAGAGGAAGCAGGAAGGACAAAGAGGGTAACAGTCTTAAAAATTCTCATTGAGTAAGGAGAAATTGAGGATCAATTTAGGACATGTTTAGGGAGTAAACAATGCTAATTCAAAGAAGTGAAGATGCTTGAGATGCAAAAGAAACAAAGAGAGAATGAAAAACAGGTAAGACAGAGAGACAGAAAGGAAGAGCAGGGAGCAGAGAAACCAAATGAAAGGTACAGGAAGAGGCAGCTGGTTTTCCAAAGAGATTATATATGCTGACAGGAGGGAAGGAGAATTTTAAACTAGGATCTGCTGACCAGCTTCCTTTCAGAGCATCTGTACTTCCTGCTGGGCTTCTTCTCCTATACATACTGAATAGTCCCCTACAGATATGTGGGAGTCCTGACCCCCTGTGCTTGCCAATGTGACTTGTTTGAAATAGGAGTCTTTGAAGTTGTTCTCCCATTAGCACGGAATCATACCAGAGTAGAGTGGACTCTAATCTTGCGCAATTAGAATGTTTACAAAAGAAAAGGAGAGACAGGGAGGTAGAGGGAGGATACGATCTGACATTGCGGGTGCAAGCTGGAGCCACCAGGAGAGAGAGACAGAGAGAGAGGGAGAGGGAGAGAGAGGGAGAGGGAGAAGGAGAGGGAGAGGGAGAGCGAGGGGGGGGGAGAGAGAGAAAGAGACAGACAGACAGAGGGAGAGACAGAGACAGAGAGACAGAGAGAGAGAGAGAGACACACAGACAGACAGACAGACAGAGAATACACAGACTTGCCCTCAGAGCCTTGAGAAGGAATCAACATGGCTGACAGCCCAATTTGGACTTCCATTCTGCAGATCTGTGAGACAATACATTTCTGTTCTTATGAACCATCCAGTTTATGGTGTTTTATAAAACAGTCATAGGAAATCAATACTTCCTAGCACCACAGACCAGGCCTATCAAATCTGGGGCTACACTATGGGCTATATAAATGAGAAAGAGATTTAGAATTTTTGATTTGTACTTTATCAAGGCACTTGGACTATTTATAAATATTGAAATTCAGGGAGAAAATTGTTACCCTACTAGAATAATTCCCTTCCCCTTCTAAATTTTTACTCTTCTTTTGAATAGTGATCTAGAATCTCCCTTTTTCATTCCAGAAAACTATTTGACAATCCCTGGAGACAGAATGTTATGCAGACTTCATTTTTCCAAGTAGATTTTATTATAAGAGAGAAATCTGACTTTTGAACAGTTATATTACCATCGACAGACCTGCCACCTACAAATACAATGCAGGTTTTGTAGCCCAGGCTTAATTTACTGTCTATTGATGTTTGAGATACCTGAGACAACACAATTTCAATTCTGTGGTGTTAATTCATTCCATTTTTCTAGAGAGTCAGAGAGTTAATTTAGAAACCCAAAGCTATCTCATGGTGCCAAAAAAATTCCAGTTAAAATGAAAATTGTTGCTCTTTTTTTTCACTCCACGAACAGGTGGAAATATTACAAAGGAGGAACACGCTTTCTTCAGTAAAGACGAGCTATTTGACGACAGTAGGCTGCTCTACTTTGATACAGAATCAGGGCTTTGATTCATTGTCATTAGACTCTCTCATTGCTACCGCTGAGCTGGGATCAATCAGACTCAGGGGAGTGAATGGCACCGTTCTTCCCCCCCTCTGTAGTCATTTATACTTTCCCATGAGAATTTGGAATCACTGTTCTCAGGGACTGGTTTTTTATCTGCCTACAGCCTAAGAAATCTCACAGAGGACAAAGGCACATTTTGCAGCAGCTCTGTGAGAGCACACATTGAGAACAGGAAATACGGAAGCCACCCAGCGGTCTGCAGGGCACCAGCAGCAGGCTATGGAGGCCCTGTGTCCCCTCCCCTATTGACACCTGTGAGTCCAGGCTCCCATGGAGCCCGTGACCCTTTGACTCTGGAGAGCTCACCTCAGCTGGTCTAACTGAGGCTTGCTTTCCCTTGGCTTTGTGCTTCTCTGAATACAGCCTGACTACCTCTGTCCTTCATGCAGAACTTACTTCTCTCCCTCATCCTTAGCTTAAAGGGAGAAGCACCAATAGATGAATAATCTGAGTTATCCTAAGGGAATCTGCTCAGTCAATGACGTTTTTCAGTAGTCTGGAAGGAGTTTCTTGGCTAACCCAAATGTCATACCTCTCTGGTGGTTCGCGTTCACCTGAAGCTCTTGAGGAGAAAGATGGGCAATCTCTTCTGGTGCCATTTCCAGCCTTGGCAATCCAATGGAGGGCCAGTATGGGTCTCTTATGGCTCAATGGGAATAAGTTTTCAAAGTTTCATTATGGTAGCAAAGGAGCCTCAGTGATGTAATACGCTATACATTATGCCAACTGAAGCATCAGTAGTTTGAATGCACTATCTGTTCAATGGGAGGAAATGGAGGCCATTTTTATAAAAATTTAGGCTCAGCCACCTGATGGAGGGTCACTGTGAGTTGGAATGAATCAGGTAATGGGGGGGGGTTGACTTGGTTATTATGTGTGAGGTTGTTTTAACCACTGGTGACACGGTAGTGAAGCACTTGACTACTAACTGAGAGATGGGTGGTCTCACACTCTCTGGGCATGTTCCACTGGAGAAAGGCATCATGTTGGGAAGATGGAAGGTCACTGAATGAGTGGAATATTCTCAACGAGATGATTTATTGCAACAGTGAGCTTTCATTAGTGGAGAATGTGAACATGGCACAGGATTGGGCAAGGCTTCCATGTGTTGTACAAAGATTGCTTTGTGCATAGAATCCAATGACAGTTCCAGTGATCAGATTGTTTAGGCATGATAGACTAAAACCATTCATGACAACTAGAAATTGTGAGGTGTTTAGTGTTTAAAGACATTTTGCCTCAATTAACTTCTGGGTGGCACAAAGATTACTGACCAAAAGGCTGACAGTGTGAGTCCATCTGGAAGCTTCTGAGAAGAAAGTCCTAGTGATTTGCTTCCGAGCAGTCAGCCTTCAGAGAGGTCTCAAGAGCTCTGGTGGCTCAGTGGTGAAAAGTTGTTCTACCAATCTAAAGGTATGAGGTTTCAATTTACCAGTTGCCCTTTGGGAGAAGATGGGCAAGCTCCTCCTGTGTAATTACTGCGCCTGAAAACACACTGCAGGTTCTGTGGATTGCTTCCAACTCGAAGGCGTTCAACAACCACAATCATCTGGTTTATCCTTTACTGACTGAACATTTTTCCATTCCCCCCCCCATTTTCCACTATTTTTAAAAGTATCTACATTCCAGATGGTTAATTTGTTGTCCCAATACTATTTACTGAACTGAAAAGTGTGTTCTTAGTGAATTGGAAGGTTATGTTTATTCTAAATATATGTGTGTATTTTTTCCAAATAAGCTCTTCTACAATAAACTGTTGAAGATATGTTTTAAAAATAATTTTTTTTAAAAAAAAACCAACCCTGGGCAGTGAGCTCTCTTCTGACACACATATTTGCCATGTTCAGAATTGACCTGAAACACCCAATTTGATTTTAAATTCTCTCAAAGAATGTGCTAAAGTGTGGAAATAGTTACTCAAACAAGGGTCTGTGAATCAGGCAAATGAGGCCTCTACTACTCTTTCCCTAACAATAGCGCATTTTCTGTCTATGCCATTATATGTCTCATCTTATTAAGATCATCTGAGACTCATGTAGGTCAGGAGCCTGTGGTTTTGCCTGTTTGCTTTTCTGACCTGTCCTCACACAACCACAAGTGACTTTGGTAAGAGGGAAGCAAATTGGGCTATTACCTGGCGATCTTGTCTGTACAAGACATGGTGACCAGCTGTTCCCCCAGCAGAACGCCGTCCCACGTTTGAACTGCATTGTGGCACCGCACTGGGATGGTCCCTTCCCCAGACTCAATCTTCGTCCGCAGGTGTCCTCGGAACTTCCTGACTATGTGTTTGCTGCTGTTCACTAGGAGATAAAAGGCAGCAGGTGAGACACTGCAGGGGCGCTTCACTGTCCAAAGAGGCACTGTGGATCCTGCAACTTTCTGGGAGAGAAGATGAGGAAGGCGTACTCGGAAAACATGTCAAAGGGTCTCAATGTCTTTCCACCTGTCGATGCATGAGAAAACAGTTCAGGGTTGGGGAGGAATTTCTTCATCTCTTTTTAGAATCCATATTAAAAGCCTGAGTTCTGGGGCGAGGTTGCCTAGATCAGGGGTCAGCCAACTTTTTTTTTTTTTTAAATGTAAGGCCGGGAAGCAAGCATTTTAAGCTCGTGGCCCACATGGTGTCTGTCGCAATTATCAATTATGCCATTGGTACCTAAGTCATTATGTAAATGAATGAGCACGGCTGTGCACCAATAAAATTTTATTTATGCACACTGAAATTTGAATTTCATGTCATTTTTATATGTCATAAAATCTTCATTTCTCCCAGTGGTTTGAAAATGTTAAAAAAAAAAGCACCCTTAGTTTACAGGTTACACACAAAAAAACCCCTCCTCCAGAAAATGGCCCAGTTTTAACCCAAGAGGTGACTTTGGTCAACATCTGCTCTAAATTTTAATCCTTTTTATACCACTTCCTCTTGATGTAACTTTGGAAAAGCTACTGATTATTTGTTGACTCTGATAACTTATCTTAAAAAAGAGATAATATTAAAATAGAGATATTAATGTCTTACTGGGCGGGTTGTGATGATTATACCAGATCCACTCACTGCCAGAGAGTTCATTCTGGCTCATATCAACTCTCTGAGATGTGGTGTAGACTCTCCCCCAGGATTTCTGAGGTTATAACTCTTTCTGAAAGTAGCCTGCCACATCTTTCTCTTGTGGAGCAGCTGGTGGGTTCAATCAGCTAAACTGTTGGTTAACAGGTTAACTGCACTTTTGATTGGAGGTGTTGTTATATGCCATCTGGTTGGAACTGACTCATAGCTGACCCTTCAGTGACTTCTCAGAGGCCTGGGAGGAGATTGCCCATTTTTCTCCCTTGGAGCGGCAAGTGGATTCAAACCACTTGCCTCTGGGTTGGTAAAGGAGCTTTTTACCCACTGGGCCATTAGATATTCCTAATCCTTTTGTTCAGCCTAACACTTATCACATTGTGTCATATGTAACACTGTTAGCCGAAGGTCTAAATAGACTAACTCTCCTTTTCTTTTGATCGCTACTTAGATATTAAAGTCAGGTACATGCTAAGGCTAGAAAGGCAGGCTATGAATGGATCCATCAGTCCTTATGAATACTTTGTCTTCCCTCTCGCAGAGTCCTTTTAACTTATGTGTGTATGTGTACACACACATATCCACACTCTACAGTTAGTTATTTGGAAAACTAGCATAAATTAGAGGAAGCATAAATTTACTTTTTCACCTTTAAAAATTTTGTATACCAACTCTGGATTATATTGCAATATAGAAGTAACTAAGTGCTTTGCATACAAATGACATACAATGGCTTAGTGATTCTCAATATTTGCATACATATGACAACATGAATAAATATCAAATGCCTTCTTTAAGAAGCTTCTGTTTAAGTCCTAGAATTTGTGGGACTGGAATTGCCCACTCATTTACTTGCACTGAAAGCACCAGGTAGTAATTCATGCTTCCTTTGTTTTAAAGGGCTTGAAAGAGGCTCTGATGGCATGCCTGTAGGGAGTTTTGCTGCTTACCCAAAGGCTAGACTTCTCTGGCATTTTGGATCTATCCAGTTGTGGCCATGAGATGGGCAATTTCCTCTTGTGCAATTTATATCTCTTGGAAAAGCCACTGGCGCGTCAGCTAGAACTCTGCTTCCTCTCCATGAAATTGACTTTGAGTTGTCTTGTTGGGGTATTGCTGTGTACCATAGAGTTGAACTGGCCCAGAGCTGACCCTCTGGTGGGTTTTCAGAGGCAGTTAATCTTATGTAAGAGTTGAATTGCCTTTCAGAGCAGAAAAGAAATTTCCATTTTACTTGATCTTTGTTTTAAAGATCTGATAATTTATATGTTCATAGTACCCTAAACACTGGATCTGGAGGAGAAAGTCTACTTTGCTTTCTGGGGAAAGCAAATTTTCCAGAGATTTTAGATACTTGAGAGGATCAAGTGTTGGCTGTTCTGTGAGCTACCTAGAGTAGGAGGAACCAAGGTGAGAGACTAATGCTCACCAGTTATCGAGAATAAATGCCGCATTAGAGAGCAAATGACTCCTTTGCTGTTTTAAACATTGCTGGAGGAAGAAGATAATGATGATGATGAGGATGATCAATTGAACATCAAATGGGTCAAGACATTAAAGACTCTTGAGCCAACATTTATCTTAATCTGACTTTTTACACTGTGAAGAGGAGGCTTTCACTGGTTTTTTGACCAGGCAGAGTTAGGTCAGGGAAGGAGTTCATTTATTTACCTGAAAAGAATGTGACCAGTTGCTATTTCAACAACTCCAACATACAGAAGTGACCCTGTGTGTTTCAGAGCACCTCTGTGCTTCATGGGATTGTCAAGGCCTGATTTTTTTCAAAGGCAGATCACCAGCCTTTATTCCAATGTGTTTCTGAGTGACTTGAACCTTCAACTTTTCAGTCACCATGTATATTTCCATTTGGGGATACCTTGTCAGATATTTGCTAGCCTTTTCTTTATAGTAACTATAGTATTTTTATCATTCATTTTACACTACAACTACTGTGTCATCCAGGACACCAAAGTCCACACCTTATTGAGCTGTTACAGACTACTCTCTTGATCTCTCATTGTTGTTGTGTTAGAACCAACTCATAGCTAACCCTTTAACAAGTGTCCAAGGTTGTAAATTGTACAGGACGTGAGTGTCCATTTTTTTTTTATTTCATGGTGTCAATGGTATTTCCAAACCACCAAAGAGGTTTGGTCTTTGAATGAATAGCAAAACTCCCTATGGACTATGCCATCCGAGCTCCCTTACTCATTTATAGCAACCCTAAAGGCCAGAAGAGAACTGCTCCATTGGGTCTTGCAACACTGTAGATCTTTACAGAAGTTAGCTGTCACACAATTTTTCCATGGTGCAACTGATGTGTTTGAACTGTTGAGCTTTCAGTTACTAGCTTAATGCTTCACCACCTCAAAAATGACCTGTAAATTTTGAAAAAAACTGTTCTAAATTCTTAACCATTGGCCCTAAAAGAAAATAATTTTCCATAAAGTAGAGTTCAGAGTCTGTGAATGGCACAAAAATATGGAGACACGCTTTGAATTAACAACTGGTGCCTCGGAGTTAACCCAAAGTTTTCTAGTTAGATTAATTTTGCCTGAAGAGCCAGGTGCATGAGATCTTGCCACGGAGTGTTTATTTTTGGACTCTTTAAGTCCCAGGCTGCCTTCTCCAGCATGCTCCCTGATCAGCTTGATCAATACGCGTGTGGACCTGAGTGTCTGTAATCTTACAGAGCCTCTTGTCTCTGGTTCTTTCTTGTCTAATTGCAAGAGGCGAGAGGAAGTTGAAGATGCCACTTCAAGCTGAGCAAGATGTCAATCCAACCAGAAATTGCAGGGGGCTGAACTTAAATAATCTGTGGTGGGCTTATGGTATGCCAGAGATGAGCAGTCACAAAACACTCAGATCATGCCTCCGGTGTGTATGTAAATACTTTCAAGTCCTTTAGAATCTTCTCATCTAATTCTAATATCCCTAATCAGTTGTCGTTTTATTATCGTGCTTATTCTACAATTCTTACCTTTCAAGATTGATGTCAAGATACAATGAAGGTAGTAATTAGTAATCAGGTTTGGAGAATTGTTCAAGTGAACATTTTATTTTTAGGGGCGAATTGAAAGGAGTTGGAGATAAGTGGCAATTAAAGGAGTCCACCTCAGTAGCTAAAGATCTATCTAAAAAATGAGACATGATTGCCATAATAGTACAGAGGAGAAAGAGATAAAGAGCCAGTGATAGAAAAAGAAAATTCAAAACCCAAAGGTAAAGTAAGGAAGAAAATATTTTAAAATAGCACACAGAATTTTATTTTTTAAACTATCTTCAAGAGTCCTATTTCAGAAGGTATATGTGTGAAGCAAACTACAATTCATTATTATAATAACATCAGGGGGGATGCTCTTTGGAACATATGATGATAATAATGATCGTTACGGTGATGAGTTATAAGATCATTTAAATTTACTGATCACCCAGTTTAATATACAATGCATGAAACATATATCACAATTCTCTCTCATTCAGTAGGCAACTCTGAATACAGGTGTTCCATTTTAGACTAACTTCCTATGGGCTTTTGGTTCAATTTCTTAAATAGCTCTTTTTTCTAAAGAATCAGAGCAACACAGATAGTACTAGGCCTTAAACATATGATTATGAAAGAAATAGATGCAATAATTATGCTATTTCTTATGACTTATCTCACTGAAGTTAGGTTGGGAAGGGTAAGAGAGCAGTTCAGGTTTGAACAATGACACTAAATTAGCGATATAATTTAAAAATCATGTCAAGAAGGAGAATCAGAGAGAGCGTTCCATTAAGGTCATTGGTGAATTAGAATGAGGACACTTTTTAGGTTCTTACCAGGATAGTCAAGGACTTCTGGTAGCAGAGTCCAGAGGGAGCTGTGCTGCTGAGTCAAAGGCTATACTTTCTCTGGTGGTTCCATTCTACTAGCAGCCCCCACGAAAGGAAGCTAGGCATCTCCTCCCCTGGGATTTACAGCCTTGGAAATGCCCTCAATGAGAGTCAATTCTGACTCAATGCCAATGAGAGAGATCAGGGCTGTCAGAGTTCTACCCATGTTCTCCAAGGCTCACTAAAACTTCAGAGAATGCGCAAAATCCAGCCGAATCCTGACTCTGGAAGCAAATAATATGTTTTCTTGATCAAGTAAAGAAACTATCTTTTAGGCAACCTTGGACTTTCATTCAAGCCCAAGAGGAAGTCACACCAGTTGGTAGTTTTGTGTTACCTGAGTTGAACAGAGTAACTTTG